GAAGTATCTGATACTATTGTTTGACTCATTAGGATACATTATGCGATTACTTAATGTGAATTGAAATCGTTCGTTAAGCGACAATCCTTTGTAACACATCGTTGAGGTACCATACAAGGAACATCGACATTGTCCTTAGCATGCATTAACTGACTGAACATCGTTGCTGTTGTCAACTTATGATGAAGAATTTCTCAACTGAGGACCATTGATGAAAACCTTATATAGGTGAAAGCAAAGCTGATTTCTAAACCGACCGAGTTCATCTCGAATTTATATGTGCAAACCTCTCAACCAGGCGTAAAGTCCTTTCGTGTGATACGCCGTACGCGAAAGAAAGATCTGAACTGAAGGACCAATATTCGTAACTCTGTATTGAACGTGTTTCTATCAATGACTTCCTGATAAAGAATCATTTGATCAAGTGTTTCCTCCTTGGGAGAATACCTGTTTTGTTCATACGCAAATCAATGAGACTCTATATCACTTACTGTCGATTGAATAATTTGTTATCCTTTACCTCGTATCATGACTTATTTGATCAGCTAAGAGAATTCATTGTATTCTCTAAGATTGACTTACGGTCAAGATACTCACAAATCCTTGCTAAGAAACTTAAACAAACTGACGGTCGAGAATTGTTATCCTTTACTATGAACTGACGACTTATTCGATCAAATTCAAATAACCTGCTTGTTAGAAGCTATAGATAGCTCAACCTTGTTTAATGACCTAATTGCCTATCATCGAAAACGTCGATGAAGTAAGTGATGCTGACAAAACAAATCATTAAGATAATTGACTCATCCGGATATCATTTTGACGTGAAAAGATCGCGACTGTGGTGACGATATGACGTGTAACAGTGACACCGACAATGAAAGACTGAAGAATGAAGAAAATGTAGTTTGCGCTGGCCATACAACGTTAAATAATATTTATGGATAATATTATTTCAACACAAAATACAACTTGGATTATATGAGGAAAGTTACAAATGCAATTCTAAATCTAATCCCCCGGGATTTGCGAACTCGTCATAATTAGCACCAGGACTCGGAAAAGCTTTAGCAAACTCTAGTTTGTCAAAAAGCTCATCAACAAAGAAAGAAGAGATAAACAGTTTCCTCTGATTCAAAGCCATGAAGTTCTGCCTCACTGCATCATCTAGAAACTTGATTAGATTATTGAAATAACCGTCAATGTTCAAAAGACCAATGGGTTTATTGTGTAACCCTTCGGATGCCCATGAGCTCAAGGTGAATAAACCTTCCATAGTGTCAATCCCTCCAAGAAGTACGATGAAGGCTTCCACAATATGATTCATCTCGAAATACTTATAGTAATTGCTGGAAACGGTGTACTCTACACCGTACGTAGGTCCGTAAACCTGTCGTGTTGCTATATATCCTGGTATGAAACCTCTGACTCTACCACCATTATTATAAACTGTTGAAGCTACAGCTCCTTGAAGGCCAACATTGCCTCCTCCGTAAGTAAGCCTGACTTTTCGCCTTACCAATTCCCGTCCTAGATCGACCGCTGTAGCCATGAACCTTGGATTACTACCAAGAGCATGACTACCAAGTAGACCAACGAATCTTATGGTATAAGAAAGAGTTCGAGAAGTTCCTTCCATAATGTGAGAATGTGAGATACCCTCATCACAATCATGCTATATATATAGACTTGAAATTTGATCTTTGAGAAAAGGGTAGTTATCCTTAGTCGAAAATTGTACAGCAAAGACGGATTCGATTTACCTACTGATAATAACGTACTCACCAATACCACACTCTGCTGATGATATGACGTATTGAGACTCTTGAACAGTTAGATTCGCTATCCTGAAACACATTCAAATCCGAGATAAAAAGTCAAAACGGATATTTCCTAAGACAACGACCTCTTGAATAAACTCCAAAGAGTGAAACATTGAAGGAAGAAAACCTACGATTAGTAACAGTAATTCACAAACGCTATCTTTGTATCTTGTGACTCATATTCTTGAAATACTCAAACCTGTTCTGTTAACTACACCCTTGAAAACATCTCGCTTGATCAATCTTAAAAAGATTGAATCCCATTCTTTGTATCAAAGTACTTAAACCATGATTCTCCTTTGGAATCAAAACAATACTCATTAATACCATGATATCGATCTTTGAAAACTATACCCTGTGGAATACGTGACTCGATCACAATAGTAAAACGACCCTGACTTAAACATTATGTTAAACCTCTCTTTGTGGACTACAAAACGATCAATACGATTACGCTATCTCTGAAGATTATTATCGATGATATTGTTAGAATCCTAGCAAGGAAATGTAAGTGCGACAACCAGAGAAGAAATGGCATCACAAAAACAGGCTGAATCATTCAAGTGAAGATCCCGAACCTATATGCGATGTTGGTATAAGAACTAGTAAAGATTCCTCACTCTATGAATTCATGAATTGAATCACGTACTGAAGATATTATCTTTTTCCTCGAAAGAGATCAGCCATAGTGCTACAATCAAATCTATCTCTATCATATCTAGATATGTTTTCAAATTAATAGAAGAAGTTTGAATACGACAAATCGTACATGAAACGCTACTCGAACATCATCACTTATGAGTACGAAGACTCATTAAAAACGATAAATGAGAGCTACCATGAAGATGAATGAAGAAATGTTTCGACATAAGGTCGATGAATGACGAATTACTGTACAACCGATCGACAGTATTTCCTCCTAAATGATGACAAATCCTATATCCTGAAAATCTTGGACCACTAAAAGACCTTTGACGTAATTGTGAATCATTGTTGAACTATGTGAACGATACGAAGATATCTCAAAGTGAAATTTACGTTATGATGTGTGAATTGAAGACAACTCCAAAAAAATCTCCCACTACATCTATCACGAACTTGATAATTTGAAACTGCAAAGGCTACTGAAGGACTTTCAATCAAAAGAAGAAATATCGTTAATCAACGTTGTACAATTGGGAATAATGAATAAACGAAGTTATGTGCGAGTATGTCAAATATACAACCGTATACATTCCAAAGAAACCTTAGTTGTTGACACTGAAGGATCACTGAATGTCTTGCTTAATGAAAGATTGTTAATCTCTTGAAGAAAGAACGAGTTCCGTAACATCGACAGTTTGAGAATAACTATCCATGTGGATAATGACGTGATTATGATTTAACTTAATGAACATGACGCGATTATGATTAAGTGCGATCACAACAAAATGTTGAACGTTGGGCCTTAGAAGAATTTCGAGGACGAAATTCCTTTAAGGGGGGGGAGAAATGTAACGCCCCAAAATATACCCTAAAATTTCTTGAATTAAATATTCAATTAAACAAAATTTGTTTTGATTAAAATAAATTATTATTGGGCTTTGGGCCGAAATAAAATGTGTTTTGATATCTAATATCACAAGCAGGATAAATCTCATAGAGATAAACCCAATATGTTGACTATTTGTGTGGTCTTGATTGGGAACCTGAGTACAGACCCAAATCAAGAATAAATGAAGAAATTATTTATGATGTGAAATTTGAAATGATTTATTGAAATAAATCATTAGACCAAATGATATGAATTAAATGTGCGAAACCTTTTTGAATAAAGATCAACTAAATCAGTTTTACTCTGTCAAAGTCAAACATCTAAAAATATGATGTCAGAAAAAGTATAACGAATAAATGTAAAAAATTATATCGTTGGATAGAGTTTAATTTCACGATCGCAATGGTGCAAACGGATTTCAATTCGGAGAAAGTTGGACAAAAAAGTGTACCAAAAAGTGGAACCAAAATTGGTCCCAATCAGAGTACTGCTCTGTCGGCGCCTCCTAGCGCACTAGTAGATCCTAAATCGAAGAAATCATCATCCTGCGTCTTCTTCTTCCTCACCACTTTATATAAGAAAACCCAACTCATTCAATTCTTCACCATTTCTCTCAAAACTTCTTCCTATTTTGTTGCTCTAAGTGAGTAGAACGCAGTGGTGCCGTCAATTTGGTGTGAAGTCGCCGGAGCTAAGAGTTATCGTCGCCGGAAGTTTCGCCGGAAAATCGTCAAAACCTTCCTTACGCTTCGAGGTAAGCCCGTTNAGAACCTTTCTATATAATTTAATTGAAGTTTGGTAATTAAAAATGATAATACTCGAAACTGACCGATGATAAACAGTAGCCGAAAATCGATTATTTACTTCTTAAGAATCGATTAGAATTATATCCAGACGAGGATGTTCGAAGTCAGTATATAATCGATTATTTAAAATATAAAAATCGATTTAAAAAGTATTAATCGATTATTTCGAAAATAAAAATCGATTTTTAGCCATTAATTGATTATTTAAATTATAAAAATCGATTTTTAGCAATTAATTGATTATTTAAATTATAAAAATCGATTTTAGCAATTAATTGATTATTTAAATTATAAAAATCGATTTTTAACAATTAATTGATTATTTAAATTATAAAAATCGATTTTTAGCAACTAATTGATTATTTAAATTATAAAAACTCAATTTTCCTCAAGTCCAGATCCTGTTCTGAAAATATTCTGAAAATATATGCTCTAAAATCCACCAATTGATTATGATTATTGGAAAAATGATTTACCATAATAAAAATGATGTTTTTAACAAATAAAAATGTTATGTGATGCATGACGGTAAGTTAGGGTGTTAACACCCAAAGCTAGGCCGCTAATTGTTATTGAATATTATGTTGATTGATGATTATGATAGTGATTATTGATTGATGATTATGATGATTAAATCTTGATAAATGTTATGATTAAAAATGAAAATTATGAATGATTGAATCATAATGAATATATTGATTGTGAAAACAATATGTATTGTTAAGGGTATCTAGATGACCTCTAAGATATACCCATATTAATTTTGATTTGAAAGGTATCTAGAAGAACTCTAAGATATACCTATATAAGTTAGGCCTTGCGTGTAACGACCCGAAAACCAGTCTAGTCGTAATTGCTATTTTCTAAAATAATATTGACTTATAACGAATTAATTCCTTCTAAGAATTAATATGAGAGCTTTAGGGATTTCAATAATCCAAACATGACATGGGTAATTGGATTAAGTAAGTATAAAAATTGTATCCAACGAGCCGATTGATATTAATTAGTCGAGGGAACTAATTAATGATTGGGGCAGACCCGAAGTAAGAAAATATAAAGTAAAGAGTACGAACTCTTGAACATGTCATTACCCTAGTTTAGGCGCTCTGAACCCAGAAACGCGAACAGAAATCAATTTGGAGTTAGTTAGTGAAAAGTATGATTTTACTTTGTCTCTGTCCTAAAAATATGAGTAAATCTTGGTATTATATATTCAAAATTAGGGTCGTTGGGTAGGTCTCGCGAAAAGATTACCAACGGCATATTGTTTGACGAGTTTGGGCTTATGTGTAAAAAGTTATGCACAAAATAGTCGTTACAGTAGAATAATAAAAGAAAAGATTTTAATAATAATGTAATAATAATAATAAATAAATACACATATATACGGAGTTTGGGCTGGGGAAACCTAGCGCCGTCCTTTTCACTCTTCTTCTTCTTCGTCGAATCTAAGACTATCATCGCCACCAAATTCATCTGGCCTCGTCTTTGGTCGGACCAAGCGGCGGCTGTAGGCACAGGAGACGCCAGCGACGTGCAACACCTTCTCCTGGCGATGGGCACAGATCGCGAGGCAGAAAACGGCGGACGGTACTGACGCTGGGCGAAGGCAGCGACGACTGGCGACCGCAGCGACGAGCATCTCCGGCGATGGTGACTACGCACGGCGACGACCTGTGACTCTGGGCTTTCCCCCAGGGGCAGATCTATCAAACTTCCCCCAGCGACTGGGTGAACTTCGGCGACGGCGGTAACATTCGAGCAGCGGCAGGAAAGGGCCGGTCAGTGACGGCGACGTCGGAGCAGCGTCGGAGCAATAGTAGCGTGACTCGGTCAGTGGCGGTTTCCGGCAGCAGCTCTGGTGACGTTTGGGCAGATCTGGGCAGCGGAGGTGTGACCTCCGTCAACGCTCAATTTCAGACTCGGCTTGCTCGATTGAATCGAACGAATCCAGGTGAGTACGTGGACATCTAACACTAGAATGTGCATGTATGTTTGAAATTCCGTTCATAATTGTTAGCGTGGTTGATCTGTGTGATTTATTTGTGTAATTGTTGGTTATGGTTTCGGGAATTGTTGTAGTTGAATCAAAAGGGTAGTATGCATGACTTAGGCGTTGAGTGATGAACTAATGTGCTCGATAGTGTTAGAATGTTAACATTAACCTATTGGTGTTTGTTGTCATGAGATTTCTGTTGGTTTGACCTTGGAAAAACGAAACAGGTATGAATATGGAATTGGTGGTGTCAAACGGTAGGCGGTACCGCCGGGACGGTACCTAGCTACCGTCACACCTTGTCTGTCTGTTCTCTTCTGTCGGTAGCTGTAACCGTTCGGTACCTAGGTACCGGACGGACGGTAGGCCCTACCGCCTGGTCGGTAGACGGCTACCGTGACAGTCCTACCGGAAGAACCCAAGTGGGTCGAACGGTACCCCGGGTACCGTAGGACCGGTACCCAGGTACCGTATGGACGGTACCCCGTACCGTGATAGGTACCGTCTGGTACCTGATGCCGAGTCTGTTGATATGTGTTTTTGTCAAGGATTGATTCTGAGACCTTATATGTTGTATGACGGTAAGTTTGGGTATCAATACCCAATGCTAGGCCGCTATGTGTTATAATTGTGATTGTTATGTGTGATCCAGCACTTATATGAACTAAAACTATTATGGTGATCCAACACATGTGTGATTATGTGAAGTACATATGTTGGGATATGATAATGTAAGTATGAGTGGGCTGATCCAGCACACAGCAAACAGGTATTGCGCGTTGATCCAACGCGTTGGTAAGGTAAGTCTACCCAAAGGGAATCTTTGGGACTGACGTAAATATAGGAAGTTAAGAGTATAAACCAGGTGGATGCCTGCTGGGCTCCAATGGTTAAGTCGAACCGAGTAAAAACGTACGTACGGGTATCCTTGAATTGCCTGGTGATCCACCAGGTGGGGATTCCACCCACCCAACGGAGAACTCCTTCGTTGGTTGAGCATGACCCGCTGATCCAGTGGGAATCCTCATGCCTCCCATACAGTAAAGTTATAGTCCTTAGACTAGTATAGGTTATAGGAACATGGCTTGGTGATCCACCAACCGTGAGAACTCCCCCGGTTGTTGAGCATGACCCGCTGATCCAGTGGGAACAATCATGACTCCAAGAAAAGTAGTAAGTCATTAGTCTATGTGTAGAATTCAAGTACAGATGAATGGTGATCCACCACTGCAAGAGACGCTTCGTTTCGATGAGAATGGAAAGGGCAGGTGCCAGGTAAATTATATGATTAATTGTTTATGTGAGCCGCATGATATATAAATCTATGTGCATGATATCATGTTATGATTATGAATTAGTGGATTCGCATATGTGTATGTTCGAACTGTTAGATAATTCTCACTCAGCTTCGTTGCTGAGCGTGTAGCCTCTTTTCCCCTTGTTACACGTAGGTAATCATGGAGGGGTTGACCTTGAAATACATCCTGGAGCGCAGCGTGGCGGAGGAGATGTACAGATGCAGGGATTTCATAATGAGTAAAGTATTGTTTGATTTAATTACAAGGCTTCCGCACTATTTGTATAAACTCTGATATGTAAATTAAATGGTTTGAGTTGTTTTAGTTTTTAAATTAAATGTTTTATTTATTGAAAATATCGTATGTGAATACCAATTTAGTAGCAGCCCGGTTCGCTAATCTATTTATTCGGGTTATGCGGGTTGGGGTGTTACATTTTGGTATCAGAGCTTATGGTTTTAAAATCGGTCTTCGGACCATTGCAAAGTACCCTTTTGGACACAAATAAGTGAAAATGATATTATTTGATAATAATAACAAAGAAAAAGTTATTCCAAGTACTGCATTCGCATCCTCCACGTCATCTCTGTCTCCCGGGAAGGTAATAAGTTATTGTCTTATTGCTTAAGTTTTTGTGTGGAGCTGATTGCTCAAGTTGTTTGAACGAAACTGAGTGTTCGAATAGTTCTGCTGAGCTGATTGCTCAAATACTGGTATGAAGCTGATTGCTTGAATTTGTGTGTTAAATTGATTGTTGGAATATCTGTGTTGAGCTGCAAATTGTTGATTACTCTACATACTGAAATGCATTAATCTAAGATAGGAATTCACATCCTGTAGATGGAACCTATTACTAGAACGTGAATGCTAGCATCAACTCTGACAACGAGATGCTAGTAACAAAAGAAAATAGTGTAAAAATATACTCATAATAAACTATCTTGTCTAATATTCGGTTATCTCATATGATCACTGGAATGGACAACCAAATTCTGAAGGGGCTGCAGACCTGGATGGATGAGGGAGTCTCATTTTGGTATCAAACGGGAATGACCGTATAAAGGACAATGAGAACTTGTTTGTTTAACAAAGAAAATAATGGTTACAACCAGCACATCGTAGTGAAGTGTTGTGGATGGATACAAACCAAAAGAATATAGTGAACAATCTATCTCGACAAGATGTGACGAATGAAGCAGACTTAAAAGAAGTTACTACATTGACACGTAGAAATGTGGTTGGCCGTTAGCAGACGCACTGTTGAAGGGCTTCTGAACCATTACAAGTCTAATTAGTAGGTATTAGAGATATACCTATAGTGATAGTGGCGACGTTAGTAGAACGCCCCACTTACCCTCGTTAGTAGGACCCAAAGAATGGTTGGAGAAATAACTTTAATGAACCACGAACGAATCAATATAATCTCGACTATGTCGCTTGAAGATTTTAGATTACGACTCTTGAAGAGTGAACCCACTTCGATATCGATGGATGCATTTAATGTTGAATACGTCACTATTAATGTCATGTCAATAAGTTGAATGCCTCCTAAAACTTTGGGACAAACCCCTGAATACACGCCAAGAACATGAAGTTATGATATCACTACGTACCGTTTGAAAGAAGTAAATCGCGATAACCATGAATACTAAACTACATCGAGTATGCTAACCATGAACGACCCATCGAGGGTACGAAGCTGAAGCAGACATGAACACGACAAATGTGTGTGACGCAACTTCACGAAGACACTTCATCCGAAAGAGTGAACTCGCATAATGACGCGACTTGGACACGAAAGAATACGGATGACGACCGCTATGACTTTTGATGAAGTACATACCGTGACTCACAAAACGAACTCGCTGATGATAGAGGAATCACGATGAAACTTGTTCCGCAGGAAACAAGCCGACAACTAACTATTCGAAGTGCGACATCTCTCGAAGTTAATCACAAGTGTGTAGATCGTATAATGAAGAGTTCCTGAAAGACTCGCTCGAGAAATGTGTTGAAGACTAACGATCCTTAGGAAGTAATTCTTGAAACACCCCATAGAATTGATTGTACAAACGTTGGGTATGTATATCGTGACAAACAAATGAGTAATGTTCCTGAACTGTTAAAGTTTATCCGTCTGTACGTTGACTACATTGATTGTTCTCCACTTTGACCCATTGACGGTGGTCAAACTCTACATGTGAATGGAGATGTTCCTCCATAATGAGTCGTAAAAATCTCCTCCCACATCAAGTGATGACGTACCCGTGAAGAAAACAATGCCTTGTGTGGCAAGAATTCCATGTAATGATGTTGACTTTGACTTTTCAACTCATATTCCCGCTAACTAAATCGCAACGAAGAATGTACTCTAAATGAAACACAATAAAGAAATCATCGTGACCCTATTGAATCACTCTGTACGTCCTTGCGACTCATAGAGGAAACTCCCTGAAGATCCGAACGATAAAGATTCTTACTATATCAGTAACGAAGCCACGTGTGCATATGAACGAGAAGACGATGTTGTATCTCGACACCTAAAGTATTTAGATTACCTTGAACGGATCACACGAAGAATCAGTGATGAAGATCGTTATGAGTAAACTAGTGAAATTTTCTATTAACCGAAGTCCTAAAACAAGGAAAAAAAGAATTTGTAAAATCTAAGTACCTCGACACTGCCAAAAATAAATCGTGGACGTAACCACAGGTTGAAGAATCTTCTCTCTGCTCAGAAAGAGAGACGTTGATGGTAGACGATCGAGCTAATTGCAATAGTTTCGAACAAAATGAACAAATACGCTAATGAAGCGAAAAAAAAGGAAATTGCTGAACATGAATAATAAACAAACAATAATTCGTTATATGCAGACATAAGTAGTTGACTCCTCGCGAGAGAAAAATATGTATGAAGTGACAACGCTGTTAAACTGACCATGACGATAAGCTATAGGAATCGTGACGTGATAGCGCAATTAGGAGAAGAACAACCCGAGATAGACTTGCGAAACGACTTCTTACGCTCGAATAGCCAAGCAGTGAAGCGAACTTTGCAAAACGCAATTGTCGACCCACGAGGGGCGTGGATGTTACCACCATTCTCCTAATCAACACGAAATCTAAGAAGATCTTATGCTGACGTCATAAGCTAACGAACTTCGAATACAAACCAAACAACTGATCAAATAACGGACAAATTTTAAATATTATTTGTACGCGCAATGGAGGTACTCCATTCATGTCTGTTGGAATGATCGAATTATGAACTCGACGAACTTGTCATATGTCTTGAATGAAACATAAATACAAAACTCCTACGATAATATCTTGAACGATAAACGAAGAGAATTTGGGTGGGATTGGCGTGGCCATTCACCAAACCATGGTCGTAAAGTGAATGTGAAAATAATTTGTGAATCCTTGTACCTTAGAAGAATTTCGGGGACGAAATTCCCTTAAGGGGGGAAGAAATGTAACGACCCGAAAACCGGTCTAGTCGTAATTGCTATTTTCTAAAATAATATTGACTTATAACGAATTAATTCCTTCTAAGAATTAATATGAGAGCTTTAGGGATTTCAATAATCCAAACATGACATGGGTAATTGGATTAAGTAAGTATAAAAATTGTATCCAACGAGCCGATTGATATTAATTAGTCGAGGGAACTAATTAATGATTGGGGCAGACCCGAAGTAAGAAAATATAAAGTAAAGAGTACGAACTCTTGAACATGTCATTACCCTAGTTTAGGCGCTCTGAACCCAGAAACGCGAACAGAAATCAATTTGGAGTTAGTTAGTGAAAAGTATGATTTTACTTTGTCTCTGTCCTAAAAATATGAGTAAATCTTGGTATTATATATTCAAAATTAGGGTCGTTGGGTAGGTCTCGCGAAAAGATTACCAACGGCATATTGTTTGACGAGTTTGGGCTTATGTGTAAAAAGTTATGCACAAAATAGTCGTTACAGTAGAATAATAAAAGAAAAGATTTTAATAATAATGTAATAATAATAATAAATAAATATACATATATACGGAGTTTGGGCTGGGGAAACCTAGCGCCGTCCTTTTCACTCTTCTTCTTCTTCGTCGAATCGAAGACTATCATTGCCACCAAAGAATCGAAGACTATCATCGCCACCAAATTCATCTGGCCTCGTCTTTGGTCGGACCAAGCGGCGGCTGTAGGCACAGAAGACGCCAGCGACGTGCAACACCTTCTCCTGGCGATGGGCACAGATCGCGAGGCAGAAAACGGCGAACGGTACTGACGCTGGGCGAAGGCAGCGACGACTGGCGACCGCAGCGACGAGCATCTCCGGCGATGGTGACTACGCACGACGACGACCTGTGACTCTGGGCTTTCCCCAGCGGCAGATCTATCAAACTTCCCCCAGCGACTGGGTGAACTTCGGCGACGGCGGTAACATTCGAGCAGCGGCAGGAAAGGGCCGGTCAATGACGGCGACGTCGGAGCAGCGTCGGAGCAATAGTAGCGTGACTCGGTCAGTGGCGGTTTCCGGCAGCAGCTCTGGTGACGTTTGGGCAGATCTGGGCAGCGGAGGTGTGACCTCCGTCAACGCTCGATTTCAGACTCGGCTTGTTCGATTGAATCGAACGAATCTAGGTGAGTACGTGGACATCTAACACTAGAATGTGCATGTATGTTTGAAATTCCGTTCATAATTGTTAACGTGGTTGATCTGTGTGATTTATTTGTGTAATTGTTGGTTATGGTTTCGGGAATTGTTGTAGTTGAATCAAAAGGGTAGTATGCATGACTTAGGCGTTGAGTGATGAACTAATGTGCTCGATAGTGTTAGAATGTTAACATTAACCTATTGGTGTTTGTTGTCATGAGATTTCTGTTGGTTTGACCTTGGAAAAACGAAACAGGTATGAATATGGAATTGGTGGTGTCAGACGGTAGGCGGTACCGCCGGGACGGTACCTAGCTACCGTCACACCTTGTCTGTCTGTTCTCTTCTGTCGGTAGCTGTAACCGTTCGGTACCTAGGTACCGGACGGACGGTAGGCCCTACCGCCTGGTTGGTAGTCGGCTACCGTGACAGTCCTACCGGAAGAACCCAAGTGGGTCGGACGGTACCCCGGGTACCGTAGGACCGGTACCCAGGTACCGTATGGACGGTACCCCGTACCGTGATAGGTACCGTCTGGTACCTGATGCCGAGTCTGTTGATATGTGTTTTTGTCAAGGATTGATTCTAAGACCTTATATGTTGTATGACGGTAAGTTTGGGTATCAATAGCCAATGCTAGGCCACTATGTGTTATATTTGTGATTGTTATGTGTGATCCAGCACTTATATGAACTAAAACTATTATGGTGATCCAACACATGTGTGATTATGTGAAGTACATATGTTGGGATATGATAATGTAAGTATGAGTGGGCTGATCCAGCACACAACAAACAGGTATTGCGCGTTGATCCAACGCGTTGGTAAGGTAAGTCTACCCAAAGGGAATCTTTGGGACTGACGTAAATATAGGAAGTTAAGAGTATAAACCAGGTGGATGCCTGCTGGGCTCCAATGGTTAAGTCGAACCGGGTAAAAACGTACATACGGGTATCCTTGAACTTCCTGGTGATCCACCAGGTGGGGATTCCACCCACCCAACGGAGAACTCCTTCGTTGGTTGAGCATGATCCGCTGATCCAGTGGGAATCCTCATGCCTCCCATACAGTAAAGTTATAGTCCTTAGACTAGTATAGGTTATAGGAACATGGCTTGGTGATCCACCAACCGTGAGAACTCCCCCGATTGTTGAGCATGATCCGCTGATCCAGTGGGAACAATCATGACTCCCAGAAAAGTAGTAAGTCATTAGTCTATGTGTAGAATTCAAGTACAGATGAATGGTGATCCACCACTGCAAGAGACGCTTCGTTTCGATGAGAATGGAAAGGGCAGGTGCCAGGTAAATTATATGATGGATTGTTTATGTGAGCCGCATGATATATAAATCTATGTGCATGATATCATGTTATGATTATGAATTAGTGGATTCGCATATGTGTATGTTCGAACTGTTAGATAATTCTCACTCAGCTTCGTTGCTGAGCGTGTAGCCTCTTTTCCCCTTGTTACACGTAGGTAATCATGGAGGGGTTGACCTTGAAATACATCCTGGAGCGCAGCGTGGCGGAGGAGATGTACAGATGCAGGGATTTCATAATGAGTAAAGTATTGTTTGATTTAATTACAAGGCTTCCGCACTATTTGTATAAACTCTGATATGTAAATTAAATGGTTTGAGTTGTTTTAGTTTTTAAATTAAATGTTTTATTTATTGAAAATATCGTATGTGAATACCAATTTAGTAGCAGTCCGGTTCGCTAATTTCTTTATTCGGGTTATGCGGGTTGGGGTGTTACATTGCGGGTATGATGCTCGGTGGCTAGGGTTAAAACGTACGTACGGGATCCAAGAACCAAACTTGAGTACCTACTCGTTTGGGGGTACCACCCACCCTACAGTGAACACTACGCTGTCGGTTTTTGGTTGGCCTTAAGTGAAGGTAAGTTTAAGATTTCCAAAACCCTTTTATCTTAAACTAGGCCTAGCTTAAGGATTATTAGGAGTACTCTGTATACTGGAATATAGTTTAATTAGTTAAGCTAGAATTCATTTAAGGGTTGACGAATATTAAAGTGATTNTTTTATTTACTACACGCAGATCAATAGAATGATGTGACGTGATCCTGGAGGCAGACGGAGGCGAGATTGTCGGAATGGATGTGATGGTTTTGAATTAAAGAATATAAATAAATTATGTTTGTGATTATGATTTGTTAAGCTTCCGCAATATTGAAAACTCTGTACTGTTTGTGATATGAAAAATATTATTATGATAAATAAAAGTGTTTGAAAAGTTTTAAATTTTATGATTACCAAGTTAATACTTTAGTCCGAAAGGGGCTGGAGACCTGGACGGATTAGGGTGTTACACCTTGTGTATAGTGGGGGTTAGAAGTTTTTCTTCTGAAATTATTTCTCTTTGAGGTCTGTCCAGCTTCCTATAGTTCTTAGGAGGGACTACCTTTTTGGGAACTTCTGTTGGTTTCTCCTTTTATTTTCCTTTCTGCTTATTTGGTTTGGCAGTAGGTTTAGGAGGGATGAAAGTTGTTCTCCCTTTCCTTTTGGAACTAGAGGGGTCAAACCCAAGTCCTTCACGACCCTTTTGTTTGGTCGTTTCAAAAAGCTTGTCCACTGCTTCTTTGGACTTAAGTATCCCTAGCTCTTTGTTAAGGGATTTCACCTTTTCAGAGAGAGATTCATTTTCAGTCTTGAGTTGAGTGATCTCATTCAGTTGACTTTTCCGACTTTCAGTCAACTTGAGATTCTCTTCACTCAATAGTTTGTTCTCCTCTGTTAAGGATGAATGTTTGAGATTTATTTCCTCAAAATCTTCCATCATCTTTTTGAACTGGTCAAAAAGATTTTCAGAAGTTGGTATGCTTTCATAAGAAGATGAGCAGGAGGTTTGTGAAGTTACCTCTTGATCAGCATCATCTTTGGCAGAGAGTGTCATCTTCTGACATAGTCCACCTATCCTCATGGTTGGACTTCTCAACTCTGCGCTCCATGCAGACGAGGGCTTCTTCATCTGAGCTTGAGCTGGATGACTCGTCACTTTCAGCAGCAACCATTGCCTTCTTTTTCTTCTCGTTCCTTTCTCTTTCTCCGTACTTCTCCACCTTTGGGTACGGGCATGCTGACTTCCAGTGACCAGGCTTCCTGCAGTTATAACATAAATAAGATTTAGGAGGGGAGTCACTTACCTGTGGCTTTCCCTTGGATGGCCTTCTGACTGAGTCAGCCTTCTTGAAGAACTTCTTGAACTTCCGGAATTGTTTGACCATCATGGCAAATTCCTCATCGTAGTTCTCCATTTTTGAGCTTGACGGCTGGCTGGAGGAAGGTGTGTCACAGTTTCTTGTGCATGTCCCTTCACTTGATGGGACTCTTGGAGTTGTCATCAATGCCGTAGGGAAGGGAGTGACTTGTTCTTCCTTCTTCTTCTTCAGCTCGTGCTCATAGGTTCTGAGCTCATCAAGGAGACCTTGGACAGTGTAGTTTTCCAGGTTTCTTCCTTCTTACATGGCTGTGGCTTTGGTGTACCACTCGGTTGGAAGTGATCTCAGCAACCTTACATTCTTTTCTTTGGGAGAAAGAACGTGGTTAAGTGATGCAAGATCATTTAAGATTTTGTGGAATCTTTCGTCCAACATATCAAATGATTCTCCGGGAAGAATTTTAAAGTTTTTGAACTTCTCAAGAAAGACCTCTATTTTCTGCTTTCTCAAGTCCTCTGATCCCTCACATAGCTTCCCAAGACCTTGCCATATCTCCATGGCAGTCTTGAGATGCTTAATCTTGGAAAAGGTGATGGGATCAAGTGTCTTGAAGATGGCTGCTTTGGCGACGTTGTCCAGATTGTGCTTTTTGCAATCTCTATCATCCCATTTTTCTTTGGGCTTTGGAATGTACTGGACTACATCTGGAGTTGCTGGATTCCTCTCAGGATTCTCCATTTGGATTTTCAAGGGTCCATCCTCAAGCACCATCCACATGCAGTCATGTAGAGCGTAGAGATGTGCTTCCATCATGATCTTCCAATCATCATAACCTAGAAGAGAAAACTTGGGCAAACTGTGATCCATATTGTTCACCATTATGATCGCTTCTCGTTAATCTAAACGTAGATAGTGAGAAGTTCGCTCCGATACCAATTGGTGGTCCCAAAGTGGTGAGATACAAAGTCTAGAGGGGGGTGAATAGACTTTGTTACAAATTTAAAACTTTTTCGTTTCTTTTGAAAAACGTGAAAATGAGTGTTAATCTAGAGTTCTTGTGAACTTTAGATTGTGTGCGGAATTTGGTGGGTAGGGTGAGCAGTAATCAATATGGATGGGTTAGTTTTCACAGTTAATATAATTGCAAGTAAGAATAAAGATAAGAGAGAGAGACACGCAAACTTTAACGAGGTTCGAAGGTGGGGTAATCCTTCTACGTCCTCAAAATCCATTATGTAGTTGGTTGTTGAATAATGAACCAACAATTACACTTGTGTGAATTTCTGCACGGTATATCTTCGCAAGGCCAATGTTGCTACTGCACTCGTGCTGGCTTTGTTGTTCCTTCGAAGGTCACGCTTCTTCAACAACTACAAGGTCCGAACAATAGGACTTGCAAGACCAACTTGTAAGAAAGTTGACCTACCCCCTTTCAATCAATAAGTTTGATCAAAAGTTGTATCCTTCAACGTGGTGTGGTACTTGAGGCAAGGAAACCTTCAAGTGTTTACACTATAGCTCTTTTGGAAGGAGGAGAAGTTTGCTTCTGGATAAGGAGTTTAGAAATCTCTCTTTATCAAGCTTTTTGGGCTAACTGTGAATGAGATAGCTTTGTTATTAGAGATTGCTTCGTTGTGGTTGTCTATCTCATAGTTGTTGTTGTGTCTTCTCCAGTCTTCCAAGGATGCTATTTATAGCTGGATTGGATAATCTATCCGTTGAATCATAATAGACTATCCGTTGCATTTGCTGGCTTCAATTTTGAATGAAGATTGTGATTTGAAGATGGGTGTTTGGACATACCCAATTTGTTGAGAAGGGATTCCTTTTTCCACAGAATCCGTCTTCTAGCTGTTGTTCAAGAATTCTGGAGTGCAGCACTTTACTCTGTTTGTCTTCTAGTGCTTGTTTAGGAATTCTGGACAGGTTCTTCAGTTTGAGAAGTCCAGACTTTGTTTTTGAGTCATTTGTTCTTGAATCAGCATAATTATCTTCAATCTAGCCGTTGAAAATCAAGAGATTGATTTTTCCTTACCAACGGGTAGAATTTCTTCATTCAAGACTTAGATAATTTTCTAAGTCTTTTCTCACTTGTCTGCTTTTTGAGAATTCCGGTCTTTCTTGAGGCATCCGGTTCTTGGCTGACAAATCCGGAGGAGTCGTTCTCAGTCTTCCAGGTGAGAAAGAAATCCGCGCTAGTCTTCCGACTTAGCCTTCAGCGGGTTCTAGTGAGACATCCGGTTCTCATGTAGTCTTCCGGATTTAAGGATTTTCATCCGCTTTGAGAAATCCCTACTTGTCTCTGACATTTCCGATCAAGATATCCAATTTCCAAATCACTGAATTTGTTTAAGTCTTCAGGCATCAAACCGCTTAAAGAAATATCACAACTTTATTGGAAATCTCAAGAACTCGGTTTTAACAATATTTCTAAAAAGAAAAATTACATTGAATATTAGGGGGAGACCTAAAGTCCCTATTACATTCTAAATACATCATCATCAAAATCTATATTTTTCCCAACACACAGTGTGTGTGTGTGTGTGTGTGTGTGTGTGTGTGTGTGTATATATATATATATTAAAATATATATATATAAATGTTTTCTCTCTCAAGCTCTCTCCTAGGCTAGGGTTACGCCGACCGCCACTATGGCGGTCCGGCGTCCATCTTCCATCCATGGCCATCACTCTCCCTCATCCTCGCAGCTTCAACGATATAGCAATCAAGGGCGACTACAAACCAGCGACAAAATACAAAGGCCAACCAGCTATATCCTTCTTCGATGAGGACATCAACAATCTGTCCGCTAGGTTTGTTCGCACAATTGTGGGTCGATTCACCAAAGGTAGACCATGCCTAATCTCAATTCGAAAGGCCTTTGAACGAATCGCATTTGAGAAGTAATTTACTGTAAGTTTGCTACATGATTCTCATATCCTAATCAATTTCGACTCTGAGAATGACTTTCTGCGTTGCTTGCTACGAAAATACTGGAAAATTAATGGCTTTGTTTTGAAAGTTTTCCGTTGGACCCATGATTTTGACCCAAGTATTGATTCCCCATTGATTCCGGTTTGGATTAGTCTTGAAGGTCTTCCAATTCATCTTTTTGACTCTCTGGCTTTGTATTCCATTGCCAATTCGATTGGTAAACCACTGAAAACAGATGCTGCAACAGCAAGCCTGTCAAGGCCATCTGTTGCACGTATTTGTGTTGAGGTTGATACTAGTAAGGAACTGCCCCATGGTGTCTGGATACATCTTGGTCAACTTATATTTCATCAACCTATCAATTATGAAGATCTTCCTGAATATTGCCCCTCCTGTAAATCTTTTGGACATAAAAACTGCAAAAAGGCCACAAAATCCTCTAGATGGGTGTTGAAGGACACGCCAGGGACTGGGAATACAGCTCCTGCTATAGCCGTCCCTCCATTGCAAACGGTGGACACCACTTTGAGACTTGTGGCAAAACAACTTGATGGTCAGAATCAGGATGGTCCAGATGAAAATGCTTCCACTGCTGTAGAAACAAATACTTCTGCCCAGGCTGAAACAAATCTGTTTCAATCTGATCCAAAACGTGAGGCTAAGGAACTGGAACAGATACTAAGAACCTGGAGCTGAAACCTTTGTTTTTGAACATGAGGCACAATCTGCTATTGACTCGGATACAAATTTGGAAAGAGTTGAAGCTTTGGCAACCACCATTGTTAATGGTAGGAATGCTAAGGTTCCTAAGCCAGCTGACAGTGCTGAAGACAAAGCAGTGATGATGGTAGAGATTGAACAAATCTGTGTTGGTGAGGATGCTTTGGAGAACAACCAAACTCCAACTAACACCGACCCTAATTCCGAGATTGAACAAAGCTGTGAGGCACACAAACTATCTCCCAAGACAGATTTGGAAGGCACACAGTACGAAGAGGAATTCCCTCCCCTCTCTAAAGAGTCCTTAACTACAACCACGGATGATTTTCCATCCCAAAAATTTAACAGTGATGCACACACTCTTTCCTTCGAGAAAGAGATGGATGGCACACTATCCCCTACTATCATTGGAGATGATGAAACTATTTCTGATCCTTCTCTTAGAAAAAAAATTTTCCCACCAGTAACTAACATTGCAGGTAATGACCAAACTACTACTGGCCCTATTCTTCACTCTTTTGAGGTGGATGGACAGCACTATGAAATCAGGTCCTATGAAGAAGCGGAGACAAGCAACCTAAGGGAGGAACCTAACGACTTCCAAGATGTCCAGAACAAACGCAACAAAAAAGCGGGGAAGAGGGGAACTGCACCAAGGACGATTAAAACTAGAAGCTACGATCCAAATCTTGAAGTTGGAACAGTAAGCGAGATCACTAGATACTGGCTCAGCCGCAAATCAACCATAATGGAGAAAATCGTCACTACCAAAAGTTATTCTGGGCCCTTTTGGTATGTTGGACCTGTCGGCCCAATTGGGGCAGATGGGAAAAGGCCAAAGAAAATAATGCCCAGAAACCTTGCCTTGGATCAACACTCAGGTTTTATAATTTGGGAATGACCATCTGTAGTTCTTTCGATTCAGTTTTCATTCAGTTTTTTTTTCCATGCATTTCTAAGAGGGGCATTGGCCTAGTCCTCCCCTCATTTGTACCTTTTCTTTTCTTTTTTTCTTATTTGAATAAAAATTTCGTTTAATAAATAAATAAATAAATAAATAAATAAATATATATATATATATATATATATATATATATATATATATATATATATATATATATATATATATATATATATATATATATATATATATATATATATACAGATGGTCATTCCCAAATTATAAAACCTAAGTGATTAACGCCACATTATATATATATATATATATATATATATAATGTGGCGTTAATCACTTAGTATGATTTGTAGACCCTTTTAAAGAAATATTTCTTATTGAAGAAAAAAGTAAAACATACAAGAGAAAACGATCAACCAAAAGCCCCTCAACGAAAAGCAAGCAGAATGAGAAAATCAAGAAAAGAAAGAAACAAAAAAAAGAGACCAAGTGCAATACTAAAATTAAAACCCATTTCTTCAAACAAAATCCATTAGGTGCCCTAAGACTCCATATTAGGCTACCCTGATATACTATCCAAGTAGCACCTAAATCATCACACCTCAATGTTTAATAGGCTTCTCTCAATTGATGACTTCAAGTATGCATACCCATAATGGAGGATCCAAACAAATCCATCAACAAAATTCTAAAGCTGCATTAGCTTGTAAACCCAATGTGCAACACCCAAGCCCAAAGTAGCATAGCCTTTAATTTCTTCTATAAAATGCAGCAATTATGTGCTCCTTAGACCTACCTCAAGGAGAGGAGCCAAAAAACCAAATTCTACAATACCGTGATGCACAAAGCATAAAAATTAGATTAACAAAGCACTAAAATAACTTAGATAGTCTCATTCACAACGAAATTAAACTCCATGTCCTAACGTAATAAAAAATATAGGAAAAGTGCACAATCATTATTGCACATTATGTGCATTATAAAGTCCAAGAGATGCATACGAAGTTAAGAAAATGATATATGTCATTGACAAGCAAATTTTAGAAATTATTGTTATTGTTCTTAGCCACAACTTTAACCATATGAGTAAGTTGAGATTCCACTATTATATTAACAAAACTTAATCACTTTGCCCGTAGTTAGTAGTTATATATGCATCCCTCACTGTGTCCATTAAAAGTTAGCATGAGAAAAGCACATTGCATTTTCCACTGAACATTAGCAAAACAAAAGACAACATGTCAAACTCTTGTTGTGCCAAAGAAACATTGGGAACCTAGGAGAAATTGCGAGATTATTTCAATTAGTTCATTGGGGCCGAAGAGAGGGATCCTGAGCTACTTGTTTCCCAGTGCTTCTGATCGGCAAAAGACAGTTGCAGAACTATGAACTAGAGCATTGGAAAAATTCAATAGAACCTCTACTTAAAACATCTTTAATTTAAATATTTATACTACATCTTGAATTATGATTGTATCACGTCAAAGTAATCACACTACATTTCAGTAGAATCTCTTTCAAAATTAAAAGCACTAATATTGCATTTCAATAGAAAATCTAAAAAGTTAACCTATTATAGGAAATGCACAATGTTATTATGTATTAGACATGATTTTGGAACATATGATGCATGTGGATAACCAGATTTTGCAAACTTCAACTAAAAAACATAAATAAAGACTTGTGTTGAAAAAACATGGGAACGAATTAAAAGGATGTTAAGTTGAATTGAACTCCAAAAAAAAACTGAGAGATGGCCTAAGAGTGAAAATTTTACCTAGGGGGTAGAGTCTAACCCCGATGTTCTTCAAATCCTACTTTGGAGCATTTACTGCGATGCACGACAAGAAAATGAAACCACACAAATCAAGGTCGTAAAATTTGAAAATAAAAGGGGAACATATGGAAAAAGAAGCCACACAAGAAAATTGATCAAAAAAATTTGAAGTAATTAACATGCGATTAGCTTAATCATGAATATATTACATACCTAATTCGAGAAGTGATTCAGCTGTTTTACTGAAGAAACCTAATAAAATGGATAAACATTGAACTCCTCCCTTTCGAAGGGTAGGAATAACATCAATTCAATTTCATGGTAACCTTGTGTATAAGGAAACCATAACCTATTTCATTGGAAGAACTAATTAAAAGAACTTACTTATTGGAGATATATATTTATATCTATAGGTTAAATATATATTGGAGATATATATATATATATATATATATAGATTTTGGTTCTGGTGAGAATGCAATCTTAGGAGAGAAATGAGAATGAATCTGGTGCTTTAGATTGTGAGATCTAAGGGTCAAGATTTCATCAAAATTAGATGCACCAAAATGGTTCGAAAATGCATCACGTCGAAATGCACCATAAACCTTCGAAAATGCACTATCTCAAAATCTGAGCGCAGGATGCAATCTGAGCCGCACGATGCTCCAGATCCGATGGCTAGATTTTATTCTCATTTCTCTCCACAAGGTGCATTCTTAC